AACAGCTTCCCATTGATTATCTCTTTCCAGCTTTCTAATAATCAATTATCAGATTTGTTGCTGTTGTTGTAACCAACTGTTCTTAATGTTCTATGTTGTTCCTCATAGTCTATGCTTAACACATCAGTCAGCTGTCCAATTTTATACAGCTTGATTAAACTCAGATATGGACACACACCTGCTTATACTGCTTTCATATGTAACATTTATAAGTTTATTTCCAAACATTTTTTGGTAGCTGATTTTTTTTTTTTAAATGCTGAAATTTTACTTACACACACAAATTCTATATATAAAGCAACAGTGCCATCTTGTGGGAAACTGCAGGTCTATCACTTGGCAAGTTTTTCAGGAGCTAAATTTATGAGAAAAATTATCTAATCTCATAGCCCCAAACCTTGTACTATACACTAGGGTTTTTTTTAATGTATATTTGTCATGTTGATTGGAGGGCAATGTTCAAACAAAATCTAAAAGGAACAGTGAGGGATTATTTCCTTCAAAGCCCATATTTCCTATCTCTCTCAAAAAACCTGGCTCCCTCTGGTTAGCACATGAACTACTCACCTCTCTATAGGCAAATATTGATTCAGCTGCCATACATGCAACAAAAATTATGCACAACTCCAGTTTTCCAGAATGCTGATGTAAGAGTTCTCAGCTATGCAATGATGTGGACAGACATCCTAGTCAACCCAGGAAATGAAATCAGCCTTCACCTCCACCTCCCTGCAACTGTCTGAACACCTGTGGAAGAGCTAGAAAGCAGATGGTTTTCTGAAATCTGATAATCAGGTCTCCTCCCACAGGTTCCCTGTTCACACTCCCCAGTTTTTGTGGCCTGCTTTAATTTTGGCCATGGAACACTTACTCCATGTGGCTAATCTTACCTGCAGACAAAATGGTGGTATTAGCAGCAGTATTGCACCTCCCACTCTTTATGCACATAGCAGGCAGTGTAATATGGGTTTAATGTAAAGAAAAACTTACTCAGAACAATCCCTTCTACATCAAGAGCCTTGCACATAAATTTGGCTGCACTGCTTAATTTGTGCCAGACATAATTTTTGGATTATGTCTGTGTGACTTGTATTGCTACACCCCAGGTGCCATCGTCTCATCCCCTTTTGCCATTTCCTCACTTTGGGAGATTTGTGTCCCTTTTGCTGGTTTTTGCAGCTGTTTCGTATATTTCCCTCTTTTTGCCTATTTAGTACCTCTTGGCTTCCTTTTCCATGTCTACAGAAGCTGTAGAACAGCACTTTACACAGAAGAGAGCTCTTGTACCCTTTGTAGTCTAACATGCCATCCATCCTATAGATAGAAATTACTAAGATTAATTTCATCATTGTCTGAACAACCGGACACAAAACAAAAACAACTATAAACACAGGCTCCAATTCATCTGCCAGGTTCAGCTAATCAGTGCTTAATTTGTTAGGAGAGAGGTACCAGGGTTCAAGCAACTTTTTTTAAAAACTTTCACAACTGATGCTGCAAGCCCAGAGGTACCAAGGCTTGCCAAACCCTGGCACAAATTAAGCAGTGCAGCCAAATTTATGTGCAAGGCTCTTGATGTAGAAGGGATTGTTCTGAGTAAGTTTTTCTTTACATTAAACCCATATTACACTGCCTGCTATGTGCATAAAGAGTGGGAGGTGCAATACTGCTGCTAATACCACCATTTTGTCTGCAGGTAAGATTAGCCACATGGAGTAAGTGTTCCATGGCCAAAATTAAAGCAGGCCACAATCCCGATGTGGGCTGCAGTCCAACACACTTTATTATAATTCATTGGAATAATTTACAACACAGCTAAGCAGTTTTTTTTCTTGGTCCTCCAATGAAGACTGTGTTTTGGAGACCCCAACTGTGAGTTAGATGTAAATAGAAACTGAATAGAATCCCATGTTCCTAGCTAATTTGATTTTGCTGCCTAAAACCGGCCAAGTTCAAAAAGGAAGTATAGCCTGATATTTATACTCTGTTGTTGAGTTACCAGTAAAACAACATGTCTATGCCAGGAAGGAGGTGGGACTGGACCTTAATTTGGGGTCTGTGTACTTTTGCACCAATGAGATTGGTCTATTCACAACTTCTCCAAAAAAAACCATTGATAGTCATCTGCTCTTCATAAACCTCTTTTTTAAGGGTCACAATCACTTGCCTACTTAAAATAACAGCAGACTGAAATGTGGTTTAGATTTGTATTATTCTTTTACCAAACTCTAAACTAACTTAAACTTTGTAATGTGAGATGCCAGGACTGTTTGGAGTAAGTAGTCAGTGATTCCATAACAAAATAATCTAGCGTTTTTAATGACAATTTTTGAGGTACCTGTGAAAACATGGAATTCTTGGTGTTTTGCCAAGAACAATTGGAATTGACATGTTATTTAGGCTAAAGTCAGTCTTCTGTGAAATACCAGTCTGAATGAGATAAATAAATGGCCCTAAGTGGTATTAATCAACCAAAGATAGAGTTTCATTACACAAAAACATACACAAATGTGAGTGCCACTGATTTGAAATTTTGAAGAATTTGAAATAAGAGGCTGATTTAAACTATAAGCTCATTATATCAGGAACTGGCTACACTGGTGATACTCCTATAAGGTGGGCGTAGTCCAAACTAGGGGTATAAAATCCTGTTTGTTTAACCTATTAAAGGGAGGCTGGGGAGCCCCCTGCCCACCTCTGGGCTGGAGCAGCCCCCCACCACAGGCAGGGGCTGCACTGCTGGGCTGGAGTAGCCCCTGCCTGTGGGGCACCTGGGTCAGCCCCAGGCAGGGGCTGCTCCAGCCATGCTGGAGGAGCTATTCAAGTCCCCACCTGTTAACCTTAGCCAGTAAGCCTCACTCACCAGTTAATGGTGAGGTTTACCAGTTAAACATTCACATCCCTAATCCAAACCTTAAAAGGATTTAACATGACATTCTGATGCTTTTTTAATTTAGAGAGACGTCTGTGACTGACCTGTCTTAGCACAGAGGAAGAATCAACTTTCCTCTTACAAAGGTGAGGTTTTCTTGTTGGAATTGAGGGCTTTGACAGTACATCTATGAGAATTTTGCACCTAGAAGTACCTCATATTTCCTGATCTAGTTGCCTCCTGGGCTCAATAGAAGCCATGAATTTATTTTATTCCTGAAGGAATTCTGTGCCAAAAAAATTAGAGATTCTGCAAAAGTTTTTTTTAAATATGCAAAATTCTGCAAATTGTGTGTCAAAATAACACTATATGACCACATCTTTTTCAATTATTTTGATAATTTATTTCAAAATACCTGTCAGCAGGTATGTATATCAAAGTAGACACAAAAATTTCCCTCGGGAGTACAGAGTTAAAGAAACCCCTGTGAAAACCCACTTCCTGTTTCTCTGCCCTCTTCCCCCCTCAGATCCCAAACAGGAGGCAAAACACACTCCTGCTCCAGCCCAGTTATGGCCTCCTCAGACAACTCTTATCCCCTACCTTCTGAGAGCCAAGGGATCCAGAGGAAAAAACCTGCCTGATGCTAGGTTCAGGGCTTACATGGAATTTCCTTTGTGTCTCTTCAGGGCATGATGGGTATTGCAGCTGCTCAGAGCCTTCCAGTTCCCTCTGCCTTTCTGCAGCCTTTTTTTCTACTTGTGAACTGGGTTCTGCTAGATCCAGTTGGCCCCTAGTGGAAGCCAACATCTCTGTAGTCCATTTCTGTAGAGGGAGAAGAAAGTCTGTGCACACATTAATTTCTGCACTGTGCAGTGAGCAAAATTCTGCTAGAAGCATTTTTTATTTGGAAACTACTTTTAAGTTTGGTTTAGTACAATACATGAATTTCAAGAAATTAAAATTTCTTATTGAAATTTAAAGCCAACAATTAACTACAAATCAAATTTAAGCAAAGGTAAACTGACCATCTCCAACCCAAATTACATCTCAAATTACAACAGGTTCATGCCACCATGAGTGATGTGATAAAAACCAGGCCTAACACATGCAAATGAATCTTTGACTGCAACTCCCTTTGACTGGTAAATATTTTAAATTTCTGATCATGTGTTATGAGCTTACCAAACTACCTGACAAGTTATGTCTTATGAACGTTGCTAAATTTTAAAATAAATATTTCTAGAGAGTAAATAAGGTTATATTCAACGTCTCAGTTTTAAGAAATTGGATACAGTTGAGTCATTCCCAATTGTGTTTATCTTTAATTCTTTTCAATTTTCTTAGTTCCATGGTCAGTTCCATGGATAAAAAACCCATAATGATACAGACTTTTCTAGAGGACAGCCTTTCAATAATAGAGAAAAATAACCACCTAATATGTTTTCAGCATCATAGGAATCACCAGATATTTTGATAATCTAAAAACTCCCCTTTATCCAAAGCCCACAAAACATTTTACAAAGGTAAGTAATTCTCATCTTACAACTGTTGAAACTGGATATTTTCCTCTAAGATATAACACTGTGTAAAGGAAGAACTAATTTCAGTTTAAAATTAGCTTTAAAATTCTCTTTCTTTATAAAATGCTTGAACAAAGAAGTCAGTATATAGGTTATTGGGCAGTTTATTTCACAGAAAGTGACACCAAGTTAAATATCTGTGTACTACCATTTTTTGGTTAAAATGGGTTCTAATTTTCAGAGAAAATTTTGTTATGCATTTCTTGCTTGAATAATCACTACTCTTAGAATTCAACAGCTGGTTTTCAGATGTATCTTATTTGTGTTCTACGTTCTCTTCAAACAGCAGAATGTCATGATTGGGTATAACAGTGTGCTGAGTAAAAGGGTGTATTTCCTGAATAAATAACACATGCTCTATGTCAGTAAGATGCTGACAGCTTTTCTCATATTTTTCAGTATCAATTTGATTTAAACTGTGAAACAAGATGCAGATATTTCTGTGTAAATGTAATTGATACATACTGCATAGGTGAGAGATACAGTACAATCCAGAAACATATTGGTCTGTAAAATATGCTAAAACACTTGCAAAACAAAATGAATTCATTTTTCAATCTTCTTTAATGCAAATCCAGGCTATTTCAAACCAAAGAAAGAATATAAATCTCTAGTCAACAGCAATCAAAGATGAATGACTTAGGACAAAGCTATGTTAAGGCTAAAGAAGAGAATTGTCAATGGCACTTTTATATAAAGACAAACTTTACAACACATTTAAAACAGCTTGTCAAAAATGTGAAGAAGGATTGACAGGCACCAGTTGGTCGAGGAATATAGAAGGGTGTTAGGTAATTAAATAGCTTTTGCCTCCTCTGCAAAGTACTTCTCCTCCAAGTCCACCTAGAGTGATGTATACTATTCTGGCTGAGCATCGACATCACAAATTCCCACCCAAAGATAGGTGGGAAAAAAGCACAATATTGCTTCTGACTTGGATCATACACTGCACGACAGTAAGGTAAGTTATCCATCTTGGTAACTCTTAATTAGATACAGTGATATTCTGGGATATATTAAAATCATTTCCTTATAGAGATTCCACAGGTTGATGCCAAGTATTTCCTCAGAAATAGATAACAAAAAATGTATCAGATTTAGATTAAACCCTGGAGTGATCTTTTCTTCAGACATTCAAAATCAGCTTAGAAAGTGTTGTTATGCAAGGGAAACTCTTCAGCTATAACAACTTTTATATAAAACATACTTTTTTCCACTCAAATCCACTGGTCCATATAAGTGCCGCTTTTCATCCTAGGCAATTTCATTTATCTCAGTGGGATTATACAGAGTTTGGATCAGCTCTGAATTTGGCCCAACACTTCAGGATTATCACTGACATTATGAATAACACTGTATTGTAGCAGTCTCGTAGCATAAACCCAACTGATCATATTCATTTTTAAGCTTACAAAATTATATCAAACATTTATGCATTTTGCCACCTGTATTATTTTAAGATTACTGGTGTGGCATTTACACTGATTTATTATAAAACATTTTCTCTCACTAAAATACTTTATTAATATGTATATGTTCTATACAGTTTCTGTTTGGTGATTCTTTCATTTAGCTCAGCTAATTAAGATAGCATTTGAGAGAAATTACAGAGTTCCCTTTTTATATGGGCATTGTATTCTATTGTAGTCTATCACATCGGGTCATACACTGACCTTGATCAGCATGTACAAATTGCACTATTGTCAGGTGGAGTTTTGGATGTAGATAAAGGGCAGTAAATAGCTGGTTAACATCTGACTCATCACAAAAAAAAGTCTCTTATTCTACCAATGCACTGATTTAAATGACTATAAATGAGCTGAAATAAAGCCCAATAAAAAAAATCTCTTAATGACATCATACACTCTGCTAAATGCTATTTGCTACACAGACCAACATGATAAGAATAACTGTTTATCAAGTTTATTTTTTTTGAACTTTTATATTTTGCAAGGGATTACTGAAGCCACTTTCTCCCTGCAAAACATAGTGTGCACCCACATTAATTCTTTTAAACTTCTCTACCTTGAGACAAGTGAGTGGAGGTTCAGTTAGCTGATTTGGTGGATTCTGTATATAATGTGGTCCTCAAGAGTTTTAAATCTTTGTTTCAGAACTTGCATTTTTAGTTCTTTGCAGGAGAATACACTGAAAGGGATTGCTGGGTGTATTCCAGGGTCCGTCATGGATCCCATGTCATTAAATATGTTTATGACTCTTTTGTAAATCAAGAGTACCTTTTACATATGCATAGAACCAGGATCAGAGTCGAACGAGGCCCACAGGCACCAGTTGTGACATTATAGTTACAGTAGGGACTAGTAAAGTTGGGCTGGTCTGGGCTGGTCTTAAAGTTTGTAGCACCTCAAACAGACTTCAAACAGACTGAAAATTGTAGAGAGGAAGAAAGGAGTATACCAAGTCTGCACAAGTCCCCCTATGAGAGTTCATGTAATTAATTAATGAAGGTGAATTTTTAAAGAGTTAAATAAATTCATGACTAACACCATGTACAACTATAGATTTTGGAACAAAAAAAGTAATTAAATCTTACTATTACAAAAGGGACAGGAAGGAATTCCTCATCCTTGCAGCCTTTTACATTCCACAACTGCAAAGTCAAGTTATGAGAAATTTCCACTTTCCTCTGAAGCATCAGTTATTGGACAAACAAGATCTTGGACTTGTTCAGCTAATGGTCAGAACCATTACAGTCTTAGAAATCCTAGGTTTCTATGTGAAAGTACAAGGCCCCCAAGTAGTCTCTTGTGTTGCTTGTATTTAAGTTGGCCCTACAGATGCATCAGTTCTTTTAGAAACAATTATTCTGATATTGACATGAACTTTCTACAGTTGGACAAGAAATCCCTTTAAATGGCAGAAGAACCAATGTACTTCTGAGGCCAAAATAATTATTAATTCAGAATGCAGCAAATTACTGTCTTTAATAGCCAAGTTTTTGTGACTATGTTCATCTGGAGGCTCTAACAGGTTTGTTCTGTATGTATTTGGAAGAAATACTGAATAGTTCATGCATCCGAAGCAAGCATTTCAAATTTCAAAATGTTCAGAGACGTTTTTAAAATATCTATAGGGTCCAACTTGCAATCACTAGTGAGATTGACCTATGAAGGAAGGCTGAAAGAATTGTGTTTGTTTAGTTTAGAAAAGAGAAGACTGGGGGGGGACATGATAGCCATTTTTAGGTATCTAAAAGGGTGTCATACAGAGGAGGGAGAAAACTTGTTCATCTTGGCCTCTGAGGATAGAACAAGAAGCAATGGGCTTAAACTGCAGCAGGGGAGATTTAGGTTGGACATTAGGAAAAAGTTCCTAACTGTCAGGGTAGTCAAACACTGGAATGAATTGCCAAGGGAGATTGTGGAATCCCCATCTCTGGAGATATTTAAGAGTAGGTTAGATAAATGTCTATCAGAGATGGTCTAGACAGTATTTGGTCCTGCCATGAAGGCAGGGGACTGGATTCGATGACCTCTCGAGGTCCCTTCCAGTCCTAGTATTCTATGATTCCTTTCTTCAAGGAGAGACTGGATTTAACAAGCATAGGGAATTCCATGCCAAAACCATCACAGCACTCCACAAAACCCACTGATTTATGGAAGCTGTGTGCTTCCATAAATCAGTGTAACTGAAGACCTGGAGATGGAAATATAGAAATCACATGTGCCAATCATAAACTACCATTATTTCATCAGTCAGACAACAGAGACCATCTTTAGCTCAATGACAGATCCGACCAAGTGATTAAGAATTTCACATTCCAAGATCTGTGCTGCCCTTCTAGAAATTTAAATAAGCACCATCTAGTGACACTGTTTTCAAGTAACAGCTAATTTCAGCAACAAACTGTAATGTTCATGTGATGTTAAATATGCTGTCAAAATAAATGGCATTTTGTTTCAGGTAAAAATGTTCAATATGTGATCCTTAGATCTGCTGCTCAGGTCACTAAGACCTGTGCAAACTCTTAGGCAAAATGAGTATGATCCTAAATGTCTACGCAATTTTTTGTATCAAATTGGTTCAATTAATTTCTATAATGATAAAAAACCTATTACACTTATAAAAATACACTAAACAAAACACATTTAACCCTCCAGAGGGAGGGATAAAACTGCCATTCACATTATTTTAGGTGAGGTTTGAGGTACTCTTGGAAGAGGAGGAGGCACCATTGAAGCTGACTGATCCGGAGGTACAGAATCACAGAAACATATCCAGTTAATTTAAAGTCCTATTGGAGAAAAATACACATTTCAGTATGACTATTTTTCTAAGTAGCTACATTGAGTGGATTCAAGAAGGCACTTCATTTGAAATTCTGAAAATTGTCTCATTTTATCCTTGTCATTTTATCTAGTCCATTTGGAATTTGGCAGGGATAGAACCAGGAGCCATGCAGTGGAATCGTTTGTTCATGGAAGAGCCCTCTCCCGCCCCCCCACCCCAAAAAAAACCAACTCTGTGATGACTCTGTAGGACATTGTGTGGGTAGTTGGCTGGCCATTGCACAAAGGCAACCAGCAGCACAAGACATTGGGATAATGATTTGGAAGAGATGAGAAAGAAGGCACCCTGCAAGAGTCAGAAACATCAGCATTTTTACAAAATGAAAAAGTGAAGGGCCACTCATTTTAAAAACGCCACAAATGTGTCAGAGACAAAGACACGCACAGTGTTATTTGATTTCTTTACTCAATATTTCAAGCACTTAATGAAAACCATGAGGCATTGTGTACTGAATGTGCCCACTTACTTGGGCTTCCGCTCCTTATTGGGGAAGGGCTGCGACTTCGAGGTAACTGCAAGACAAATAGCAAAGAGCAAGTTAGCAGGCCAAGAACAATACCAGTGACTGAAGCCCCTGCAACAATAAGGAATTGATTAAGACAGATAAGTCCAGATGATCTTATCAGGTGACTCGTGCCTTATGCTGCAAAGGAAGGCAACCAAGACTCTGCCAATTGGACGTAGGGGAAAATCTCTTCCCTACTCAAATCTGGTGATCAGTGAGACCTTCAGGATGTAAGTCCCATCAGCCTCACAACTAGATGAAGTGTTCTCTGTACCACCTTCAAGTGTAATTCAACAAGGCACTTCCTCTCAGTCTTCTCTCATGACACCCACATGTAGTGAGTCTAACAAGATATTGTTAATAAGGTATTTCATGTATGTACCCACACATTTTTATACACGCAATGGGTATGTGTGTATTAATATATAAAAACATCCCCCACATTCTATCTATGCACTATATACGATAGACACCTGATTATACAGTATCATTAAATAATGTTAAAGTATATATAGATATAGATAGATAGATAGATATAAAACTATTCAAATATTCACAAATTGAAGAACCTGCACCACGAGTAAAAAGCTTTGCTACACTCTCACGTAATCTTATTACTGTGAGCTCAGCCTTTCCTTCCTTGTTCTTCCTCCCTGATTTGTTACTCCTGCCTTCCATTAGAGGGTAAACTTAGACTGCTAGTTCTAAGAAGCAGGGACAGTGTGCTATTTATCTGTATTGTGAGGGGCCTAAAACATTTTCTGGGTGGTTGTACTTGATAATTAGGAAAGGCTGGAAGTTTAAAAAAAGAGGACACCTGTAGAAATGGACAGGGAGCAAAGCACGTAAGACCATCAACTCAATCAAAACTTTCATTAGCCTACATGTGATCTGCAATGAGGATAGTTTACAATACAGTTTTTAATTGAAATTGTTTATATAATATGCACACACACATGATAACCATATACAGTCCTGGTAAACATAGTAAAAGAAAAATGGCTCTAGAGGTTGAACCTCTCTTGTCCAGCACTCTCTGGTCTGGCAACATCCATGGACTGGCATGATTTTAGTTAGCCAGAGGTCCAAGTTTAACATGGTCCCGTAAAATTTGTTTACAGACACCAGTCCCGGCTCTCAGTGCTTTGTGCTTTTATTTAGCTCTAATTTACCCCTAAATGTCTACACTCGCTCCCTAGTTCAAGCTAGGGATGCAAATGTAGCTGACCGAAATTGCTAATGAAGCAGGGATTTAAATATCCTGTGCTTCATTAGCATCATCTCGCCCATGCATTATTCCGCTCACCAGCTGATTCGAACCAGGAAGTGCGCTCCTCAAAAAATGAGGAGTAACGTTAGTTCAAACCAAGGGGTTTGATTCGAACTAACGTGTCCCGGAGCGCACTTCCTGGTTCGAATCAGCTGGCGAGCGGAATAACGCGCAGGCGAGATTATGCTAATGAAGGGGATATTTAAATCCCCGCTTCATTAGCAATTTTGGTCGGCTACATTTGCATCCCTAGCTCGAACTAGAGAGCAAGTGTAGACATACCCTAAGAGACCAGTAAGCAGTGGAAGTGTTGGTAATACTATTAGACAATATTCATCTTCTTTGGGTCAAATTCTCTGGTTTGGCACTGGTCAGGTCCCAAGGATGCTGGACTAGAGAAGTTCAACCTGTACATGATAATATAATTCTCTGGGAAGTCACCTTATACAGCAAATTTTATATTCACCTTATGGAGAATGTGCCCTGCAATATATATTTACACACATACCACACCACCAATAATATTAAGTACAAATATTATAATAATGAGGTAGACTGCACTGGCCTATAGCATAAGTGAACAGGATTATGGTAAGTATACCATAACTTCTTGCATTTGCAAACATAAGCAAACAGGGAACATATAAAAATTAAGATACATTTATTGTGTGTCTTAGTATAAACTTGAAAGGTACCTTCATGGACCTCAAATGCTAAGGAAAGAATAAAACAAAAAGTTAAGGGACTGGAACATATTGGTTGGATTTCAGTGATATGTAAAGAGAGATATAACTTGTAAAAATCATCATATAAATATGCCAGCAGAAACATGGAACTTTGAAAGCCCACCTTCTGCATAAAGGTGATGTAACATTGCTTCACAAGATGACTTCCCAGAGAATGGTATCATAAAGAACCATTTTCCTTTACAAAGTCAATATTAGCTTGGTGCCATAAATCTGATTAACATAGTTTATTTAGCCACTTGAATATATTTCATAACAAATCAAAGTGTGGTCAAGCAATTTACTATAGTATTTATCACCAAAATTTACATAGTTGACTAAAATAGTAACTCTCCGCATGTATTTTGTACAATGCAGTTGTATATGAGTACCTATTTATAAGTACAATATTTCATCCTATTCCATGCAAGCTTGTCAACATGAATGCTTATTTCCCAGGTTCAACGTGCACACATGGCTTGTCATGTTACTAAATCCCTAGAGCCTGTTAAGTATATTGAAAGTTCATTGATCAGTGTGTTATACTATACCAAGGTGCGGCTGGGGCTTGCAGAATGAGACAGAATAGGGCTCATGCTGCGGCTTCTGCTTCTGCTTTTACTCCTGCTCCTGCGAGACCACTACAATAAAACACAGTAGGACACAGATCTATATTTTAAAAAGAATATTCATTAAAACTAAATTGGGAGCAGCCTTCTTTCCCTGAAGCCAAGACTTGAGTATATGAATAAAAGAATATTTCTTTAAGGCCCTAATTCTGCAACCATTTATTTACGTATTTTCCTTTAAGCACACAAGAAACGTACTGAGGTCATTGGGACTACTCATATGCACAAAATTAAGTGCGGCTAGATCAGGTCCCAAATAAATATTTATATATAAAATCCTGCCTGTTCCAGAGTTGCCTCAGAAATTAAACAGGATGACTTCCCTTATCAAGCCTGGGGGTACATACCAGAGCACCTCTCTTTGAAACTGCCTCTCCCTTCACAATAACTGAATCATTTTCGATCAGAGGAGGCCACACATGATAGACCACCAAGGGAGCAGTAAAATCAGAGTCGTAACTGCGATGGTACCTGTTCAAAACACAGCAAAGAGGGTATTACCATGTCAATACTGAAAGAAAGCAGTGATGGCTATACTTGATAAGGCCAGAATATTTATTATAGCTTGTGATATGTTTTAACAATATTTCAATAGTACAAGTATAAAAAAGGAATATACTTGTATGAAACCCATCTAACATAGACATATGTCTTCTGCCAGTGCTAATGGAAATTTTGTTATAATAATGTCTCACATCAGATGCACACCTGCATAACCGAGGTAAAAGCAAGGGCTGATGGGCAACAATGAAGTGCAGTGTTTGGATAAATAACATCTTCCTGGGCCACTTTGTCAAACAATGATTAGATAAAAAATACAACAACAAATATGAATCAGGACTAAATATTAAATTGACAATAATAGTTTCCATCAAAGAAACCAGTTTGGATTTTGGACACACTAGCTAGAAAGGTCAGAATTAGGATTCTAGGAAGCCAAGAAAAGTTACCTTGGACGACAGCAGTACCTTCAGTTTCTCCTTCTCCTAATGATTGCTGCTCTTTTTCACATCCTCTCCCCATATATCTTTCTTTCTCCCTCCCTGACCAATGTTCACAGTCATATATCCCCACAAATGGACACAATAAGCTTCCCTTGTCGACCGCACCATGTCTAGACTGCCGCGCTGTGCCGGATCAGCTGATTGTCGGCACAACGTGGTGGCCATTTTTATTTTAATGAAGGGATTATTTAAATCCCCGCTTCATTGACTATGTTGAATAAACTACTTTACATGGCTTCGTCAACGGAGCTATGTAGTCTAGACACACCCGAAGAGCCTTAAAAGAGCCCTTAAAAGCTGGTTTGCAAGATATTGAAGAAAAATAATCCATTTCTACAAAGAATTTTCACTTTAAGAAGTGGCTGCTCTTCCACAGAGCTGATGGTGGGGTACCAAAGAGCTCAGAATCCACAGAACAGCTTCCAGAAAGGATATGCAGAGGATCCTGAGATGTGTGTGACCCTTGAAAGCAGACACCATCATGGATACTTGCTTCTAATGAACTGGGAAAGTAACAGTGGAGGAAGTAGCAAGAAGAATTCTTTTTAAAAAACTGGAGGCAGAAGGGAATATGGCAGTGAGAAAGATGATAACCTTACTAAAAATATTAAGATCAAATACGCACGAGACTGGAGTTTATGGATAAAATTGTTGCCCTGTTGGTTGAAAAAATGACTAATTGAGAAATATACTGCCCAAAGTTTGCATACTTTTGAAATTATATTCCACTACAACCCTTGAATTCTCATCAAATTTGCTACGCAGCAGGAAAACAAGACTCAGACTAAGTGAGTTTACCAGCAATCTTAAACCTTAGTGTAAATGTGGCTGAACTGCCTGAAGGATGGACTATGTGACCTTTTCATCTCTAATTTCTATGGTAGGAGTCTATTATTAAATATTTCAGAGTTCTTACTTGTTCTCATTAAAAAGTTCTCCATCTGCACCAAATGCAATATCAAGAGGCGGAACCAAGGTTTGCATTGAAAAAGCTACACGGCACAGCTCCCGAATCAAACTGCTGATCATGATGAAGTCAACTTCTGGTGGAAATGAAATTTTAGGATTGATGTTCATGGCACGAATTACTTCCTGAAAAATAAACATAATGTATCAAATTACTCCTTAGTTTACCAGAGCTTTTTAATTACAGACTGGCTAATATGGAAACAGCTGACCCTCCTAACTTTCACAAACTCCATTTAATAAATGGTATACAGAACACCAAAGATGTGGTCTTATGTTATTTCTGAAATGGCATTACAATATTGGCATCAATGCTGATATCAGTTCTGTGACTAGTATACTGATTTTAAGAGAAGTACAGTGCTGTCTAGGCTACTACTGAAAGCATCATATAATTGTTTTATTTACTGTAGTGGATTACTTTTGCAAAACAAAAAGACACTACAATCACAGATAAAATATATTAGATATAAATAATATGCTTGTGTTTATATTACTGCATAAGAAAGCTTATTGCTACAACAAAGTAAAATGAGTGCTGTTAACTTCTCCCTAGTAAAACTAAGAAATTTCAGATTTGTACAAAATATGAATAGTCAAGCTTCATATTCCTCATTACTTACATTGACACTGGCTTGAACATCATATAAATCCTCATGGCGCACTATATAATCCAGGATAGTGTCTTCAAGTGATTCAGGCCCTGAGTAAGTTAAAGACAGAGTTTTTCTCACACGCATTTTGAATTGTCTGAAGGCCATCTTTGCTGCATGGAAAGACTCCTGCAAATGTTAAAATAACCAATTACATTTAGAACTCTGTGATCAAGAAAATAGGTTTGATTTTCAAACAATGGTCCAGAAACATGCCCAGAGTAACCTCACTGATATTGAGGAATAAATTTAGCCAAATGTCTTTCTAGTTTTCAGGGAAGAAAAATTCTTGTGTTAAATTATGATAGTATTTAGAAACAATACACTTTGGAGAAAGTAGTCTCAGATTCATTCCTCACACTTGGTTTTAAATTCCAGGTGACAAATCAGATTAGAATGCTTCATACTTCCCTTCTAGAACTTTCTATTTTTTCCATAAAATTCCATCACTTGCTAAATCAAGTACTGTAGTTTAAGATATTTAAAGATGTCAGTGGACAGGATGTTGTATCTAGAGTGTAAGATTCTCTAGTATAATACATATAGAGGAGTACATGTTGTCAGTTAGTAAGAAGATTTGTAGTTTGATTGTGTAATTTGGTTGGAAATTGCTATTTTATGGAAAAACAATACCACTTTGTATTTATACAACAACATCTGCTATTGAGTCTTGGTGAGGAGCAACCACAAGTCTCAGTGATAGCACCAAGTGTTCAAAACTTCTCAGCGCCATATCCATTAAGAGTCACAATTTTTGTTCAGGCTAAGTACTAGATCAATTTTCTAGAGGGAGAAAATGAAGCACAGAAAAGCAAAATGACCTGTCACAGGTCACAAAATGAATTGTGGCAAGCAATGAGTAAAATTGAGAATTCCTCTTGTCTCCCTACCTACCTAGGCTCTTATATGATACCCAATAAATTAGAAAACATGCTTCTAGATCTCTCATGTGACTTAATGTGAAGCACCATATGAACCAGTCTTAGTTATTTGGAAATATTACATTTTAAACTAGTTTAAATGAAGCAGTGTGATCTAGTGTAATAACAATGGGCCCAGCAGTCAGGAACTGCCATGTTTTAGGGAAAAGATAAAAAGGATAATAAATTGAAGGAATTAATGAAAAATAGCAACAAAAAAAATGTATCAAGTGAAGCATTTTCTTCTGTAATTCAGTTTTAATTCAGCTAGGTGATATTATTTTACATAAAGTGTGTGTCGTGCACAAACCGTAATGGAAAAAAAATGTTAAACATTTTATTTCATACCACAGCTGCAACATATATTATCCTCTGCACCATCTCCAGATCCTCGATATAAGTCATCAAAAGGGCCTGTGCATCCAAACGTTCTTGAGCATAAATCTCACTAAAGCGAGCCACCAGGTGGGCATGACGTGCAGCATTTGTAAGTCTGGCTCGGCCAGGTGAGCAGCTCCTGAGTGGGAGAGGACTAGGGGATCTACTTCGGCAGCGCCTTGGAGAAGGAGAGCGACTCCGTGCAAGTCTAAAATGAATGATAAAAAGTAGTTAAGGTCACCCTGTTATTTTCAGAATGTTTTGGTCTGGTCTACACACAGTTTTTATACCAATTTGATTATTGTGTTTAAGAGTGTGATTTTATACTGATATAATCAAAGTCCTAGAATGGATGCTGTTACACCAATAAAAAAGATGTGTATCCCATTACAGCTTATTCCCATAAAATGGTTTCTAATATCAATATAGTTGAAGCAGTTCCAAAGCATGTGGGGGTAAGCACCTTGTACCACAGAAACAGAATTTAAAAGAGTAAAACTTTAGGAATTTTTTCCTCTTCCGTTACCAATGTACAGTGACTGACACAGTGAGCAAACAGTCTTGTGCTGGAATGGAATGGTGCTCCAAAAGTCTTATAGCAAGAAATAACACATTGCTTCTGTCCAGAAACAATTTTTCTTTAATCTGCCAGGCTGTCCTTTTGATATGTTTCCTGAAGCTCAATGAAAATATTTGTGTATTCCTCCCCTTTCTTCCTTCAAAATAAATTTGGTGGAAGAGTTTGTTGTTTCATTATAAAAGGGAGAAGTTTAAATGTGTTTACTTTTCAATCTAAACTCGTGTATCTGCAATTTCTTGCTCTTCAGTTGCATCTCAACATGTGTATCCTAGCATGGAAGATTATAAAATTAAATTTGAGAAACTAATTTAGATGCTATTCAGTTTTTGTGTTGCTTCCTTTGTATGTTTTAAAGAATTGCCAGATTAGGGTCAATACCTGCTTTGAAGAACAGATTTTTGGGCACCCAGGATGGCAATCTCATCCTTTAGTATTTGAACCTGCTGCTCATAATCATTCAGGCGATCCAGATTCCTCAAAGCGCTCTCCTCCTGTGCTTGAGAAGCCTTCAGACTTAATCATACAACATAACGCTAGTCAGAAAGAACCCTTTATTAATCCATATTAAACACAAAAAGCTTTGTAAAAATAACGGGGAGATTACCTTCTAAAATCTAGAAAGAAACACGGGGAACTCCCTTGTTAACAATGAACTGCAAAAAACAACCCAATTTTTTCCCCTTAACTGATATTCATGGGCTATGTCTACACTGCACATTGTTGCACAATAAGATAGGTAAATGAGGCACGGGGATGACTATCGCCGCACCTCATCTGCATACCTACTGAAGTGCCATTTTTGCGGCATGGGCTTTTGTGCAAGAAGGAGCTGTCTACACGGCTCCTTTTTGTGCAAAAACCCTCTTGCGCAGAGCCGTTCCGCCACTTATTTTCAGAAATAACGGCTCTGCGCAAGAGGGGGTTTTTTGCACAAGGAGGAGCCGGGTAGACAGCTCCTTCTTCCGCAAAACCCCGTGCCCATGCCGCAAAATGGCGGCTCATTAGGTATGCAAATGAGGTGCAGCAATAGTCATCCCCGTGCCTCATTTGCATATCTTATTGCACAACAATGTGCAGTATACACATAGCCCGGTATACAGATGCATGTCTTGTGACAGGGGATATTAATTACCCTTACATATTCCAGTACCACTTCAGGTGAATTAGGTCGGTCTCTTTCCTGTACTCCACAACATAGTCTCAAACTTTTTTTAAAAAAGGTTTTGTTTTTTTTTAAATTTTCCCCATCAGATCCTCTTTCTTCTGTCTGTACAAGTGCCTGTGCAAGATTTTTAGAAGCCCTGAATAATGATATCACATGAGGTTCCAACCTTACTGGAGTTCTCCCTCACCCCAAAAGATGGAAAGATTATGATAATTCTTAAATTTGTCATATGCCCTGCAAAACAATTTTAAACATGTCTATATTGCTCTTTACCACTTTTCCTAGACAAGTTAGAAGAGAGGAACTCAAAGTTTAAGAGAGTTATCTCAAAGTTTCCCCCTTTCCTCATCCCTTTCCGGAAAAGGGATGCTAATGAGACACTTTGGAATTGCAAATCTGCAGGGGATTTAAATATCCCCCACGGCATTTGCATTTACATGGCTGCCGCTTTTTTCCGGCTCAGGGTTTTTTCCGGAGAAAAGCGCCAGTAGGAATAAGGGATCCTCCGGAAAAGGGCTTATTTTCCAGAGAATCACGTCTAGACTGGCGCTTTTCTCCGGCAAAAACCCCGAGCCGGAAAAA